ACTATGTCAAGTGGAAAGGGCTCCAGTACGAGGATTGTACGTGGGAGTCGGCGGCACTCATCAGCGAGACCGCCCAAGACAAGATCGATCAGTTCCTGGACCGCTCCTCGCGTTCCTGGCAATCTGACCGCAAGGAATCCAACCCCGACACCCGGTCCGGCATGACCAAGCTGGAAAAGCAGCCAGACTATATCGTCAACGGCGAGCTTCGCGGGTTTCAGCTCAAGGGTCTAAACTTCCTTGCACTGAATTGGACTCGAGGCAACAACGTCATTCTCGCCGACGAGATGGGCTTGGGCAAGACCGTGCAGTCGGTGTCATTTCTCAGCTGGCTTCGCAACGACCGGGGGCAAGAGGGGCCTTTCCTGGTTGTCGCGCCCCTCAGCGTCATCCCGGCGTGGTGCGATACCTTTAACCACTGGGCGCCGGATCTCAACTACGTCGTCTACCTCGGCCCAGACGCATCCCGCACCATCATTCGGGACCATGAGATGATGGTGGACGGCAACCCGAAGAAGACCAAGTTCAACGTCTTGGTTACGTCCTATGACTACATCCTCTTGGACTGGGAGCATCTCAAGAGCATCAAGTGGCAAGTCCTTGCTGTGGACGAGGCTCACCGGCTGAAAAACCGCGAGTCTCAGCTTTACGCACGGTTGAACAGTTTCAACGTTCCTTGCAAGGTCCTCATCACCGGCACGCCCATCCAAAACAACTTGGCCGAGCTGTCTGCCTTGCTCGACTTTCTGAACCCCGGCAAGGTCGTGATCGACGAAGAGCTCGAGGCCCTCTCCACCGCCGACAGCAAAGAGGGGCTCGATGAGCAGCTGGATGAGGCGAGGCGCAAGAAGACGCAGGAGAAGCTCCAGGAGCTTCACCGGCAGATTGCGCCATTTATCCTCCGCCGAACCAAGGAAACTGTCGAGTCTGATCTGCCGCCCAAGACGGAGAAGATCATTCGCGTCGAGCTGGCAGATTTGCAGCTGGACTACTACAAAAATATTCTGACGCGCAACTACACTGCGCTCAGCAACGCCAGCAATGGCCACAAGCAGTCTCTGCTGAACATCATGATGGAGCTGAAGAAAGTCAGCAACCATCCCTACATGTTCCACGGCGCCGAGGACCGAGTGCTCAACGGCAGCACGCGTCGTGAGGACCAAATCAAAGGCCTCATCACGAGCAGTGGCAAGATGATGCTTCTTGACCAGCTGCTGGCCAAGCTGAAGAAGGACGGTCATCGCGTCTTGATCTTCAGTCAGATGGTCAAGATGCTTGATATCCTCGGCGACTATCTGCGAATCCGCGGCTACCAGTTCCAGCGGCTTGATGGAACCATCCCGGCGGCCCCCCGACGCATGGCCATCAACCACTTCAACGCCGAGGGCAGCGATGATTTCTGCTTTCTCCTGTCGACTCGTGCCGGTGGTTTGGGCATCAACTTGATGACGGCTGACACTGTCATCATTTACGACTCGGACTGGAATCCCCAGGCAGATCTCCAGGCTATGGCACGTGCCCATCGTATCGGGCAGAAGCGTCCAGTCAACGTCTACCGTCTTGTCGCCAAGCAGACGATTGAAGAGGAAGTTGTCAAGCGGGCGCGCAACAAGCTTTTCCTCGAATATCTCACCATCCAGGCCGGAGTTACCGACGAGGGCAAGGCGCTCCGCGACCAGTTCAACCAGCGAGGCCTCAAGATGGACGAGGCAAAGACTGCTGAGGATATCTCCATGATCCTCAAGATGCGCTCCCAAAACCTATTTGAGCAGTCCGGAAACCAGGAGAAGCTCGAGTCCCTCGACATTGACGCCATTCTTGAGAATGCAGAGGTGACCAAGACCGACGTTGACGACAAGATCAACCTCAGCAGCGGTGGCATCGACTGGGATAACTGGATGCACGTGACCGACGTCAAGGTTGACGAGCTGGCTCTGGATTGGGACCAAATCATCCCTGCCGAGCAGCTTGCCGCAATCAAGGATGAGGAAGTCAAGAAGAAGCATGAAGAGTATCTCGCCAAGACGGTAGAGGAGAACGCCCCCCGCAAGGCTGCCCTCAAGGGCTCCAGAAAGCACCTTGAAACGGAGCGTGCTGAGCGTCTTGCGAAGAAGAGGCAGCGCGAGCAGGAGGAGGAGGATGAGATCGAGGAGCAGCGCGCCCTGCTCAAGGATCCCCGCCGTCCTCTCAACGAAAAGGAGACTCGAAATCTGATTCGCGCCTTTTTCCGCTTCGGTTCTCTCGAAGATCGCGAAGACGAGGTGGTCCAAGATGCGCGCCTCGGCGATCGGGACCGGGACTTTCTCAAGGACATCATTGCCGGCCTGGTTGAGATTAGCCGCCAAGCAGTCGACATTAACAACGAGAAGGTCCGCGAGGAAGAAGACAGAGCCGGGAAGCCGTTGGCAAAGAAGGACAAGAAGGCCGTGCTGGTCGATTTCGGCGAGGTTCGCAAGGTCAACGCTGAGACGGTGGTCGAACGGCCGCCCCAGCTGAGACTGCTGCGTCGGGTCCTCAAAGAGCACGGCAACATTCTGACCTTTAGACTTCCGGACGCGACCAAGGCCGCTGCCTATTCGTGTGAATGGGGCGCCCGGGAGGACGGGATGCTGCTTGTCGGCATTGACCGATATGGCTTTGGTGCATGGCCCCAGATCCGGGACGATCCGGAGCTCCAGATGCACGACAAGTTCTTCCTCGAGGAGCACCGTGTGGAGAAGAAGGAAAAGAGGAAGACGACGGATGAGCGAGGTATTCAATCCCCTGGTGCCGTGCATCTGGTTCGTCGATCCGAGTATCTTCTCTCTGTGCTCCTCGCAAAGCACTCCAACGATGCCGCTGCCAAGAAGGCGGTGGAGAATCACCACCGCAGCAAGAAGCTGCTCACAAACGGACAGCGCCGCGGCGACACCAGCTCCATCCCAGCTTCGCCCGCGCCCCCGATGTCTAGGAAGCCAGGCCAGCGAGAGCGCAACCACTCCCACAGCGAGCACCGCCGGGACTTCAGCAATGCCAATGATCGCGGTACGCCAAGGGCTGAACACAAGCGGAAGCTGAAGGATGAGCACGACGACCGAACCTCGAAGCATAGGAGAGTGGATGACGATCGCCACGGTGCCGATGGCAAGAAGAAGGATAAGCCTAAGGTCGACCCCGAGGCTCTGGAGCGGCACAAGCGGGACCATCAAAAGGCAGTCGAGCGGTTCAACGAACTCGCGAGGCTCGGCGACGATAACATTGACAACTCGGATAACGCACAGTTGGTCTGGTCCATCCTTCGCCCACTCAAGCCCAACATGGAACGAATCATGCACTCCAAGGAAGAATTCCCGGCGGCAAAGGACAGAGCCAAGTTCCTCGGCGAGGAGATCCGCACGTTTGGCAATTTCCTCATGAACTTGCGGAGGGAGAACTCCAGCGCCCTAGACAACTTGGAGCCGCAGTTCTGGTAAGCGCTGTCATCTTTTGTTCGCTTTTCTGTTGCTAACTACTTGTGCAGGGAGTTCCTCTCGTCGATCTGGCCGATCAACGAAACTCGGGTGTCCGGAAAGCGCCTCCAACACATCTTCGGAACGCTTCTCCAAAAGGACAAGGACAAGAAGGACGAAGACCGTCCTAATGAGATCCGACGTCGCCGCCCGGACCTGGAAGACGGCGAGATCACCAGCGACCGCGACGACCGCCGGTTCCGGGACCCTTACCGCGACGACCGCCGCCAGGACCGCCGCCAGGAGCCTCGCGACGACCGCCGCGATAGCCGTGACAGCCGCCGGGACGACCGACGAGACGACCAGCGCGAGGAGTCGCGTCGCGCGTACTATGACAATGGCGATCGGCTCAATTTCCATCGCCACCGCCGAGACGGCGACAGGGCCGGGCCGGTCCGCCATTCGTGGCAGAGCGGCCGGAGCCCGTACTAGGGGACATTCCGGTAGGGAACCGGGCCGCTGGCGCTGCGGAATACCTAACTACTTTTTTCATTCCCCCCTTTTGCATTGGTATGGCGCACGGGGCGTATCGGGGTGTTTATACTTGTGCGAAGCAGGGTTATTCTTTTCACCAAGGGACTATGAACAACTACTACATACCCAGAATAGCATCGGCATCCATTTGGGCAGGAGAATGATGGGGGTGTCTTTTTTTTTTGTCGGGGGATCGTGATTGGAGGGTCATCATTCGCAGAGGAAGAGCAACACGCAAAGAAAAGACCTCGGCAGTCATGATGACTCGCAGGAGGGGGAGTAGATGTGTCGGTCGGGGAGGCAGGCCATTTAGAAGGCAGGGCAAACAAAGGCGCGTACCTTTTTAGTCTCTGTTTTTTTTTCTTCTTCCAATGTCGCCATGGTAGAGAAGCTTGGAGGAAGCGCTGTGTATCTGTTCGTTTTTCTGCTGATGCCCTCCCTTGAGGGCAAAAAAGTGTGGAGGAGCTGCCAGCAGGGTGGCTGGGTGGCTTGGCTTTACTGTATTTTTACACCTATCTGCCTACCCCTCGGGAGAGCCGTCACAGGATCGGCGCGGTGTTGTGTCTGTGTCTCTGGCACAGTTGGTATGGGCTGGGCTGGATGGGTTGGGGATTTTATTGTTTGGGATGGGAGGGAGGGGGGTGGGCATGCCAGTGGGTTAATATAATAGACGCATCAAGTGTACTTACTTGTCAACCCTGGTTCCTTTTTGTGGAAGTGAGTGAGAGGAAACCGGCTTATAATATGTCTGTTGAGGGTGATGGTGATGGTCTTGTCAGCATCCCATCCCCAAAAGGTGAAAACACCACGGTCAGGAACATTACCATCGAGACTTTTCAACTCCTTCTCAACCAGCAAGCAACGACGACTTCCTCCCTCTGCTCCATGTGAGAACAAAATCCATATGGACCCATAGCCAAAAAGGCAACGAGGACGACTCACTCTCCCAGAACCACCAGACCACACCAGGTAGAGGAAAAAAGATCAAACATGACCAAAAAAAGAAACACCGCCTCGAGTTCATCGCGTCGGGAATTGAGCCCGACGTGGGGGTCGAACCCACAACCTTGAGATTATCCTTCACTGCGCGCCATATGGGACAGCTGTGAATTAAGAGTCTCACGCTCTACCGATTGAGCTAGCCGGGCGATGAAGGGGTGTCTTTCGATGGAGATGCATGTGGGTATAAGGGTTTATGGATACATGGACATAATTCCGTGTGGGTTCCCGCAGAGGTCATGTCATGGGTGACGCTCGGTGGAAGAGTTTGAGGGGGGTTGGGAACGGGGACCGACATGACTCCTCCGTGGATCCGTCTGTTTTTTCTTCTGGGTTGCTTGAGTTTGTGGGCAGGGTAGGGATGGGTGAGCTTGCGTTTGTATATCCTGGGTATCCCCGCTGGGACAGAGTCCAACTGCGCTGGTCGCATCTTTCTCGTGGTCCCCGTCCGTCCGTCCATTGTGTACTCCATAGTAGGTATGTATACAGGTCCAGTCGCTGGAAATCACATTGATTCTCAATGTAAATTACACATCTCTCTCTCTCATCCTCAATCACCAACCCGCCCAATGTCTTTCCCCCATGCCCATGTAGCCACGATCGGGCGTGATATCCATCCGCCCGTCTCGTCCGCATCCAATCCATGACTCCCCTGGTATAAAGTGTAACTGATGAATCAAAGCACATGGCCCTCCTGCCGCCATCCCCAAGCCACCCCCCCAGAAAACCCCCAGCCACTGCTTTTCCACTTTTCGCCAACCCAGCTGCCAGCTCGCAGCCATGTGCATATGTATATGCTGAACCCGCATGTCTAAATACGGACTCTAAATACGGACAGGCAGGGAAAGTCTCGGTCATCAAGGAACCACCCACGAGCTCCAAAATCAAGGATATCCAGTCCACCACCGTGCCGTGCTCGCCAAAGACTGTGCGGGAAAGTACACTAGTCAATGGATGAGATGGTCCATGAGCCTCGGTTTCGACGTCGGAGAAACCGTGTCCCCGTGCCACGCAGGATAGCCTACCGGCGGGGAGTTGGGCATTGGTCCCTTTTCCACTTGAAACGGCGGCGAGGGGCGCTGGCTTGCTGTTGGTGGTCGGAGTGCCGGGAGGCCAGACGTGAATGTGGTGGAGATATCGGGTGGAGAAGAGAGGTCGGACGAGTCGGGGTCCAAGGGGATCTGCCTCTTAGGCGTCTGCTTGGACATCGGGGCCGCAATCTTCTGGGTCTTGAAGGTCTGGTCGAGGCGGTTCTTGGGCTTGGCCGCTGCCTTCTTGGGCTGACGAGGTTTCCGTACGGCGGGCTTCCGAGCTGCCTTGGGCTTCGCATCGCCTTGGGCACCGAAAAGCGAAAGAGTACTTTGCTTGGTCTTGCCAGCGGTCGATGGCTTGATGGACGGTGCAGGGCTGCGGGTGTCGGGACTGAGGCTCGGCGTGGGAATATAGCTCTGAGCGGGGTCGGCAGCCCTGAGGGGGAGGTCTTGTAGGTGACCAGAGGTTTCCTCCTCCTCCTCTCGCTTCCGCTTTTGCTTCTGCTCCAAGACCACATCAATCCTCCCGCGCTCCAGGCTGGCCAATAGACGCTTCTCCTTGATCTCGTCGCCCGTCACCATGTACGATTCGCGGTCGCCGATATCTTGCTGATCCCACCTGGGGAGATTGACCAACTCAGCAATATCGTCGCACTTGCCCTTGACGACATAATCCCAGCAGTCCTTGAAGTCGGCCTTTGGTGGCACGGGGTCGATGTTGATCCATGCCGTGATGCCGTCTCGCCTGCTCCTGGTCAATTTGCACATCTCCCTGACCAGCCGCTGAACACCCGGAATCTTCAGAGTGGTGCCGACCACGATCACGGCATCTGGGACTCTCCGCAAATCAGCCTGGGACACCATCCCGATGGCGTCCTCGTCCGGGTTATGCTCGTTGTAGAGCACGATCCTGGGACGGAGCTTTCCGATGCCGTGGCTCCGCTTTCCTGCAAACGCTGTGCGCACCTCGTCCTGTTCGGTGCACTTCTCGCACAGGGGTGGCTCCGGGCCCTCGAAAATCGCGGCGTTGAATGGTTCAAGCTGACCGCACTTGGTGCATACCATCTTCTCGAGGCCGCCGTGAAGCTGGATGGTGACGGGCCAGGGCCCTTTGGGGTTGAGAGGGACCGTCGTGGCGAGCGGCGGCATCCGTGTGTCGATAGTATCGATATTTTGGGTGTAGAGACGCAGCAGCCGGCCCTCGGCGGCGAGGGAAGCCAGCATGTGGTGAAACGGGGTGGGCGATGCCTTGGAGGTCATGTCGGCCATCTCCCGGACCATGTTGTGGAAGGATTCAGTCGAGTCGTCATGCTTGTAGACCGACGCGTCAAAAAGGTTCTTCCCCGACCCCTTCAGCTTGTGCTGCCCTCGCAGCGTGGTGAACAACCCAGTTGAGGAGCGGAAATCAGGAACTGGGGGGGTTGTCAGTACTGGGACCGGGAGCACACGTTTTGATTGAAGCATGTAGAGAGACTTACTGCCTGCGGACACCGAGATGCCGGCGCCGGCGATGACAACGATCCTCTTCTTCTTCCGCAATGCGGACAGCAGCTTCCCAAACCGCCCATCGTCACCGTAGACGTCGCTCTCCAGGTCGACATGAGTGGTAGTACGGGGACCCGGGGGGGTCGCGAGCTTGCGACGCTTCCGGGGAGGGCCGTCAGTACCGACGCGAATCTCACCGGTGGGGACCGACGTGATGTCAGAAGGTTTCCTCGGCGAGCAGGCGCCGGAGGTGCTGGCGCTAGTGGTCGGCGAGGGGTATCGGTTGACAGCGTCCATGTTGGGCTGCAGCGGCGAGGGAGGAGAAGGCGACTGAGAGAGGACCGATAGGGGGGATGATGGCGGAGACGAGGACGGGGAGGAGGGGGAGAGAGACGAGGATGAGGACGGTGGGGGCTCCATTCTGGGCGGCTGCTTGCTTGACGCAGCCGAGATGGCGAGGAGGCAGCGATTGAAAAGGGCGAGGGCGCCGTGAATAAAGGAAAGGTGCGATGCGAGTACCCGAGTCGTTATATCATGGCTCGAGGGTCGGTCGGGGTGGAAGGAGGAGGGTGAAAACGCGCGACCGCGGTCGTGAATGGTGAACGGTGAATCGTGACACCGACCCGCGATTTGACGCGCTGGCTCGTGGCAATGGCAGGTGGAGAAGCACAAAAAAGTGGCTGGTGAAAGATTTGCAGAAATGGCAATCGTGTGGAGGAAGAAATGATTGAGAATGGTGGTTCTGCGCCGTGGAAGAGGAGAAAAGGACGGGAGGCAGGGCTGGTTGACGTCCGGGAAGGGAGGTTTCGCTGTTGCAGATTCCAGGGCAGGGTTCTGTCGGATTGGATATTTCTGCCCTGTGGCCTCTGGAATTCCACTGGAGTTGCCCCCCTGTAACTAGATCTTGGCGCCTACTTGGCGCCTTGGCAGGTGCCCCACCCCACGGGTATAGGGTATCCTGCCCTCGCCCACTTCCACCGTTCCAGAGCTCTCGCTCTTCTCGGACACTAAATTCTACACACGATTACGCCTACTTTTCTACAATTAACAGTCTAACTGTAACGGCGTTGGCACATTTGGCTGGCGCAAAGAGGCCAGAGCAGTTGAATACCAAATCGTAGAATTCTAAGCTGAAGAGAGGAGTCTGGGATTCGGAGCGTAGCTCCGAATTCCAGATCTTGTAGGCGATTACCCCTCTTCCTAATTAGGCCTAGTACCCCTATCTGGATTATAGGCTAAACACTACCTATTTACCTATAGTCCTATATACTACGGTAGGTAAGTACTACCCTCGTAACTACCCCCTTAAAAAAGAGAGTTCGCCTTAGACTTAAAAAAAATAGTTCCCTTATCGGGGATCGATCTCGAGTCGTCTTACGCGTTAGTCGCTTACTTTCCCCTTATACGGCGAATTAACTTCCTTAACCTACCCTATCCTTACAACTTAACCTTATTATTATCCTCGTAAGGTAGCTTGAATCGCTCCTCTTTTATAGCCTTAATCTAGCTTTAAAGCCTTACCGGTAAGCCCGGCTTATCTAGTTAGTCGGTATAGTAGTCCCTAATCGCGAATAGGGCTTCCTTAAGGGTTCCGACGTCGTACTAGTCGTTATCGGGGTCGAATCCTTTCTAGTCGACCTAATATTAAAGCTTACCGCGACTAACTCGGGATATCCTTACTCGCTCGATCTCTTACTATTCTTCTCCGTCGACTTCCTCCGCCTTTAGTTATTTAAAGGCCTATCCGGGGATAGGGTTACCGGGGTATTTTCTTAGTTTATCGGCGTAGAAAAGGTCGGAGCTTTTTTATAATATAAGTATCTTTAGCCGGAAGGTCGCTTCTTTAATCTTCTCGACGATCTTATAATACTAGTAAGTAAATAGCGAATCGAGTTTATTATTAAGTTAATCCGTACGGCTTCCTACTTTTTTTAAGATAAATACGGAGTCTTTAACGTCGAAGTCCGGCGGTCTCCGGTATTAGTCCGTCTTCTCCTTTAATATTTCCTAGGTTTTTATTATAATACTTTAAGCTACCTCGATATATCCTTAAATAGTTTTAGCCGACTATTATACCTTAGCTTTTGTAAACCGCTCCTTAACGGGTAGTTTTACTAAATTTATATAGTTTTCCTAGTTATACTAAAGTTTTATAGGGAAACCGTAGGCGATCTTATAGGGCGAAAGTCCGGTACTATCGTATAAAATATTAGCCTATATTATATTTATAATAAGGATTACTTACGTTTAATCGTTTTAAAAGTAGTTAATATATAGCCGGAGTCGTTAGTTTAAGTACTCGTTTATAATCTTAACCTAGCCTATTATCTATAAGTAGCCGGCCGAAGCGAAGTTTTATTCTATCCTTATAATTTTTAATAGTTTATCTATAAAGTTAGAGATAAACTATAAACCCTTATCGCTAACGATAAAGTCTAGTAGCCTATAAACCCTTAGTAGCCCTTCGTAGTATATTTTAACGGCGTCTTTTACGGTTACCGTATCCCTATAAGGTATTATTTATAAGATCTTACTAAGTTTATCGATTATAATAAGGGCGTTATTATAACCGTTTTAATCTTTAGGTATCTTTTTAAAGTTTACTACGAAATATTACTAAGTTTAAAAAGGAA